AAAATCACAGATGAAATTAATCATCATAGTGATCACTTAGAATCCAAATTAAAATAGGATTTTGATATGTTTTACTCGATGTTTTAGTTGTCTTCTCCTCAATTTAAAACATAGAAAATAGGTCTGGAGCTTATATGGCCTAAAGTTGAAAATTTTAAAAGCTATAGGCCAAAATGAAGCAAAACCTAATTCCAATGGTGTTTCTATACAAGTAAAGTTTGTTAGCAAGGCATTGTAATGTGACGTATAAGTGACAATATGAAGGGTTAGAGTTACTAACCAAATGCTAAGATAATTTTTTTTTTTTTTTTAAATCTTGGGTGGCTAAATGAGAGGCAACTTTCATCTATCTATTAACAAAATTCATTTTTATACCATACAACTTGAATTTAAAACTTTTTACTTTTACTAAAAAAATTATCACTAAATTATTTAGCTTAATTTGTGATTAATGTGAAATTGATATCCCATTTATTTTGGTAGTCACCATGTACTTTAGTGAGGCATGCATTTTAATTTCTTCATCATTCTTATATGGTGGACTTTTTGATACCTAATAAGTTGCTATTGAAGGCCCATTATGTGAAGATAATAAGGTTTGCAGTTATCTATATTCACAATTTTCTTTACTTTACATGGTAATTCAACATTTGTAAATTATTTTCTTTTATTATAAGATTAAACAATGCATAATTATAGGCTTATTAATGCTAATAGGCAATATTATCTTAATTGCTTTTGATCTTGTAACTTTAGCATGTACCATTTGTTTGTTTGCATGTATGTTATATTTAAGAATACAAGATTCAAATATAGTTTTTTTAAAGAATTACAAACTACAATTATATTTAATTTGGACATATATTAAAATCCACAACCTTAATTGTTAAGAAGGTGTTGGGCTTAGTTGCTTAGAGCATTGTTATTGGCAAGTCTTTTAATATGGATCTCCAAATTTCACCTCATTCATAATTATATTATTTTATTCAATTTACCCTTGAAAGACTCCTCACTTCAATTTGAAGACACCAACTAGAGATTCTCAAAAATTATAATAATAATATTTTATTCAACTCACATCTTTAATTTTTTTAAAAGAAAAAACAAATTTGAAAAAGGGCAAAATGAATCACTTAAAATGGCATTGAAACTAAAATAGCTTTTTTTTTTTTAAAAAAAAAAAAGATTGATAGGAGGCTATGTCCAATATAGTAAGTGTCCTTTTTTAGGCAAACTTCACACAAGAAACATGGATGGAGATGCCTTTAGAGGCATTTATTAGCAATTCTACTTTATTTTCATATCACCTTTTCTTATTTCTTACACACTATTAGAAAGTGCTATCAGTAAAGTAAAATCAACAATATATTTAGATATGTGGGGGTTAGTAAATTCACTAACATACTTGATAACGTCAAATGGTCGAAAGGTCTACATATGTAATTAATGCTATTTTTACAATCAACAAGGTAGTATCATGTTGCTAAAACAAAAATCACCAATGTTAATTTTCAATATACACCATATTAGTAAATTTATTCTACACCAATGTGATGCATATTGTTATTATTTTTTCACCCACTTATTACATTTCAACATGCACCACATAAATAATATAATAAACACCAATATGGTATACGTTAAAAACTTTCAACTGCATATTGTTAAACAAGCCCAACTAACTTACAACGATCATTGGGCTTGCAACATATGTCACATTACACAAAAAGAGAAACCCTGATGTGGCAAAAAATGTTAATTTTTAATCAATATCTTTGACCAACAGTAGCACTTAACTTTCAACATGAGAAAATTACCAATATGTCATATATTAGTAATTTATCCTTTGCACTAGTCCATGAACAGGTTAAGAATGCTTGAGTAATTTAAGGTGCATAGAGGAAATAGAAATCAAGGGAAGGGGGAGGACAAGGGCACAATGGGTAATATAGGAAGAGTAGTGGCAATGGACATGGTTTTTTGTTTAGAAGGTTGTTGGGATAATAAGTGGGCATCTCATTTATTTTGATAGTTGCCATGTACGTTAGTGGGACATGCTTTTTATATCTTCATCATTTTCATATGGTGGAGTTTCTAATACCCAACAGGTAGTTATTGAAAGCCCTTTATAGGAAAATTATTATAAGGTTTACAAATATTTATATTTATAGTTTTTTTTTATTTTAAGTGGTAACCCAACATCTGTAAATTAGTTTATTCTGTTATGAGATCGAACAAAACCTAATTATAAGCTTATCAATGCTAATGAGCAAGATTATTCTAGTTACTCCTCATCATGTAACCTTACCATATGACATTTGTTTGCTTGCATGCATGTTATATTTGAGTATACAAGATTAATACCTGTTTTTTATGAAGTACAAACTACAATCATATTTAGTTCGGAAATGTAGTAATTAAAATTCACAACCTTAATCGTTAGAAGGTATTAGGCATAATCACTTAGAGCATCGTTATTGGTAAATCTTTTAATATTAACATTCAAATTTCATCTTAGTTTTAATCATATTATTTTATTCAATTTATTCTTTAAACTTCTCACTCCAATGCTAAAATACCAACTAGAAACTCCTTAAAAATTACAATAAATTATTTTATTCAACTTATATCCCTAAATTTTTTATTTAAAAAAGAAACAAATTAAAAAGAAAAAGAAAAAACAAAACAAAATGAATTGCTTACAATGGCACTAATAGATGCTAACCCCACTTGTCAATGTTGAAATTGAAATAAATTTTTTTTTAAAAAAAAATAAAGACTGATGAGGAATCTCCTTGTTTAGGGTATCTCAACATGAGAGACCATGGATGAATAAGCCCTTAGAAGCCTTCATTGGCAATTTCTACTTCATATTCATATCTTTTCTTATTTCTTACATTGCTGAAAGGTAAACTATAAATAAGGTAAAATCAACAATGTAATTAAGCTCAATTCACCAATGTACTTTGCAATACCAAATAGTCAAATGATTAACATACATAATTAATGTTGCTTTTACAATCAATAAGGTGACATAATGTTGCTAAAACAAAAACCATCGATGTTAAATTTTCAACATAAATCATGTCAATGAGCTTATTTAACACCAACATGACATATGTTGTTATGATTTTTCTAGTTACCAATTAGATTCCAATTTGCATGATGTCAGGGATGCAATTAACATTGATATGGTGTATGTTGAAAACTTTTAAGTGCTTATCCCTAACTAACCTTCAACTATCATTAGATTTGCAACATATACCATCTTACTAAAGTGGGAAACATTGAAGTGGCCGAAAATGCTAATTTTTACTCAATAGTTTTGATCAATCACTTAACTTTCAACATGAGGAAATTATCCATATATCATACATTGGTGATTTATTCCCTTGCACTAGTTAATGAAGAGTTGAGAATGCTCTAATGGTTTAAGGTGTGTACATGAGGTGGAAATTAGGGGGAGGGGAGAAAGCAAGACGAGGGCAAAGTTAGTAGAAGAGAGAGTGGCAATGGGTGCAGTTTTTTGGTTTAGAAAGGCTATCAAGGTAATAAGGTGTAGATTGGTTGAAGTTTGCTTTTATTAGTTAGAAAGAGGTGGGGTTGGATGTCCATCCTAACTAGGAGGTTGGCATAAGATTAAATGAAGTTGGCATTGTAGGTATAGTTACTTGTGTAAAAAGGTACTGTAGGATCTAATCGTTGTTTAATGGTAATTTTAGCTTTTACAATAGGTATGGTAGACTGCTTTTACTAATTAAAAATTATCTATGGGTAGACTGCTTTTACTAATTAAAAATTATCTATGGGTTTAGTCAATATGTATGCATCTAGGTTATAGTTTTGTTCCTTGTGCTTTTATATGATCCTTATTTCTATATCTTTGATGGTGATTATGATCCTTAAGTCTATACATCTTTGATGATGATTAAAAAAGTTTATTCACTTTTTCTTTTTCTTCAAAATAAGATGCATTCACTGCAAACAAAAAGGAAAAATATAAAAGGAAAAGAAAATCTTTCAATAAAGATTTTCACTTTGTAGCCTCTTTCTATCTATATTTTGCCTTTTTGCATAATGCCAATACAAGAGTAAATTTTGGCATTGTCACTGATTATATAAACCATTTGCTGAAGTTGTGTTCTCTTTTGTAAATGCTAATTTAAATGTTAATTTTAGGTCCTTAATTTTAATAATTTGTATATTTTTTATCTTTTAATTACTTGTTGCACTTTTTTATTCTTGAACTCTCAAGGATAAATTTTGGAAAATGATTATGAGATAATTTTTTATATAATTTTTTTATATAATTTTATATATTATTTAATAATTAATTTTTTTAATTTACTAAACTATAAATCTATAATATTATATATATCTATTAATACATTTAATAATTTTATGAAAATTGTAAATAAAAATTATATCCAAAGAATCAAATGTTGGAAAAATATGACTTTAAAAAAATTCAACAATAGCTTTTGGAATTTTATTTACTTTTTCAAAGAAATATGAAAATTAAAATATTTTAACATTTAAAATATTAAAAATGTATATAAAATTATTCAAGTATTTCTAATAAATTTTTATTATATATTAATTCATTTAAAATATTTAAATGTCTCTATTATCAATCTTGATACGAGATTTTGTATGATTAGCAATTTTTTTTTAGGGTAGTGTTAGTGGAATAATTTTTATATTTTATTTTTTTATATAATTTTTACATTTCATTAAATGAGTTGATGTAATTCAATATCACATACCTTATATGAATTAAAATAATTAATTATTTTAATAATATATCAAATTATATAAAAATAAAAAAAATAAAATAATTGTCTCAATAATTTTTTTTTTATATGTTAAATTAATGTGTTAAAGACAATTTTTTAACTTACCACGTCGGCAACAACGGGGAGGTTAAAAGAAAGGTTAGGTGCTGCCTGAAAACTGAAAATCCGGTGAGTGGTCCATAAACAGTTATTAATATTATTCCCGGATCATCTTCTCTTCTCCTCGTCGCCCTGTGTCCAGACAGACACTGGCGAAAACAAAGAAAACCATAAGTCTTCCGGCAACCTCACCAAAAAACCAAAACCCCAGAACTATTCGATAAAATTCCTCTTCCGTTCCGACTCAAGTGTCTAGTCGATGGCTTCTATAACGACAACGCTGTCGCCAGGCTCGATGCAGCTCCGTCTGGCACTAAAGTGCAGAAACCGTAGGGGATCAGGTGCAGTTCTTGGGCAGGCGTGGGTGAGGAAGCTTGATTTTGAGATGTCCCGGGTGTCCCTCTCTCGAAGAGGAAATGGATTGGGAAGGGGACGTCATGGCGCTTTCTATGTCCGGTCAGAGTCTGCTGCAGATGCTTTCTCTGATGGGTCAGAGTCTGATAGTGCAGAAGAATCGCGGAGGAAACAATGGTTTCGAGGTCTGGGATAGTCTTTCTCTTTTATGTTACTTTTATCCTTCTTTTTTTTATATATTTCTTTTAATTTCTGAGAATGTTGAGAAAAAGTAGAAAAAAGTAAATTACTTTTTTCTGAATTAATGAAATTTGGCAATTTCACAAGTTGAAAAAAAACAAAAAAAGAAGAAGAAAATTTGCTATATAACACTTTGGAATTCAATGCAGTTTTCAATTTTATATGTAGGCTGGTTTTGGAAGGAGGGAAAGAAATTTGTTTTTTATTATTTTGTTTTATTTTATAAAAAAGTCTGATAACACTTTGGAAGTAGCTTGCTTTCAGGGATGGTGGGAGCTGGAGTTGCTGGAGCTGTTCTTATTGCTGGGCTTACTTTTACAGCAATGTCTATAAGTAAACAGAGGGCTTCCAGTAAGTGTCTTTTGCTTGAAATTCACCAGGCTTTTTGTTTCTAATATTCCTATATTGTCATGCCCTGTTTATCACAATTTCTGTGTCTATGGGAGTTAACTAAGATTGATCTGGTGAGTGTTTCAGCCCTACTACTGCTGGCAATGATGATTGCATGTTTTGCTCAATACAGGGCCACAACAACAAATGCAGCCTTTAACGATTCAGCAGGAAGTTTCATTGTCCTCTTGTACTGATAGTAGTAACATCAAAGAGAATGAAAATAAGGGCAGTTTTGTATTCAAGGATAGTGGTAATCTGGAAAGTGAGATAGGTACTGATGAGGCTCTTTATCCATCTTCAGAATTTAATGATCCTCCTACTGAAGATATACTTGGTCAAGATAATGTGACCTACACAGAGAGTATTGAACGCAGATCTGATGGTGGTGATGCTGCAAATGGTGCTTCCATACAGGATGATTTGCAAAATATATCGGATTTAAATGACATTCCAGTTGGCCCTGGTGCAACTCAAAGCTCACCTGAGTTGCCTGAATCTGGTATTGTTGGTGGTTCTGTAGTTGCATCTAGCCTTGAAGTTTCGGATAGCAAACTTGATTTAATATCACCTGAGCAGCCAACTTCCCAAATTGAATGGGACCCTGTCTGTGCGTTGGGCCTTAATGACAAGCACAATGAGGAGTTTTCTAGCTTAGAGGGAAAAGAGACTTCCAATCTCTCAGTGCATTCTGTGGATTCTTATACTAATAGTGATTCCAATGCCACATCCATTGAGGCTGTGGTTGTAGGCTTCTCTGTCACTTCAGTTACAGACACAGTTTTAGGCCCACAGGTTGTGCACATGGAAAATGTGGAGACTCACGTCTCATCTTCCAAAGAAAACCTTGATAGCAGCAAATTGCTGCAGGTCTTGGAAGAGAGAAGGGCAGCATCTATGGAAGAGAATAACTTGAGTGAGAGTGGGTTGTCTGAAATAACCTCTCTGCCAGCATCTTCCCATCTATCTGCAAATGACCAAGACAAAAATGGTTATGGTGAGACAAATAAAAGCAAATCGTTTTTTGATTCCCCAACTCCTGAGAATTCCTTCTCTTCTGCTGTTACACCTGCTCCTTCCATAGTTCCTGCAGCTGTACAAGTGATTCCTGGAAAGGTTCTGGTTCCTACAGTTGTTGATCAAGTTCAGGGGCAGGCAATAGAAGCTCTTCAGATTTTGAAGGTACTTCACACTCATGGCAAAGTATAAGTGGTCTACTAAACTTCTGCATTTTAAAATTTTCGGGATTGGAATAACTTAAGTCAAGGTAAAAACTAAAGAAGGTTGACTTACCTCCATGTGTGATTTTAAGCCTTCTCCATTGACCAAATTTAGGTACTGAACTCTTCATTATGTTCTTCTTAATGGAACTATGTATCATGTTGAAAGATTATGGGACTAGTGCTTTATTTAAGGACACAACCTGTTTTCTGTGTTGAGCATGCGTCAGCTAACAATCCATAAACTGACTATTCCTAATTGTAACTTCGGATATTTTTCTATTGGTGATGCTTTTGGTCTGCCACAAGATGTCCCACTGGAGAGAAATTCACAAATGCATCATAGCTGGTCTTCTGTGGCTGCGTTGATTTAAAATAAATTATTCAGTGCGCTTTATTACCTCCTGTACTAGGCATTAGAAGAATAAACGTATTCCTGAAATTATGATATAAGAAAGCAAAGGTGGGTCCAGTAAATCAGTTTCAGCTTTTTAGGAAGTTGATATTTCTATATTGCACACTTTCATCATTTTTCCTTGGTCGTCTTCGAAGGAGTATATGGTCCTTAGAGAAAATAGAGTAGGAAATTATTCTGTTAGAAGAACTGAAAGCCACTTTTGTCTTCTATTCTTCTTATCTGAAAAGTTTGACATTTTCAGGGCACAGATCATTACTTGCCTTCGTAAAGACTTGAATGATTTAATATTTAACTCAAGCTATTTTGTGTGCTGAAAAGAGTTCCTCTGCTTGTTTGGAATTTAATGGTTTAACCAACTTAGATGATATTAAGATTTGAAATCTATAATTTTTCAGGTTATTGAGGCGGATGTTCAACCTAGTGATCTATGTACACGTCGTGAGTACGCTCGCTGGCTAGTGACTGCAAGCAGTGTTCTTTCAAGGTATGGATCTATCTCGCTCTTCTTACTGCATCTGTAAGGATGTGTGCGTCAGGAATTTAGTGTCTGATGAATAATATAAGATGTGTAAGTTTGGTATCTTAGTTAATTTTAAGATGTGTAAGTTTATAGCTTATGATGCATGTTGATTGCTTGCTCTGGCAGGAACACAGTGTCGAAAGTTTATCTTGCAATGTATATAGAGAATGTTACTGAACTTGCATTTGATGATATTACACCCGAGGATCCTGACTTTTCATCCATTCAAGGTGAGAATTAGATTTCTTAATCTTGGCATCAAATTAAGTAGGAGGTGGCATATTGGTTAAGAACTTGAGTAAGTTTGAGGTCTCTTGTTTGAACCTTGAGTCAGGAGGGAAGGGATTTGGGAAATTGGGAGGACTATCCCCTCTTGTATACCCCATCATCAAATGTACCAAAAAATATAATCAGGCTTCAGTTTGTTCTGCCATAATTACATATGCAGTATGATGTTTCAGGTTTGGCAGAAGCTGGACTCATCTCAAGCAAGCTTTCAAATCATGATCTTCTGAGTGAAGATCAAGGCCCATTTGATTTCTCTCCTGAAAGGTAACTATAGTTTACACAACTGACCGGTCATATTAGTTCTTCTATTTAGGTAGATTATAGTTTCCTTATATTTGACATTGTTTCTATCTCAGAGCCCAGAGGACTGGGTTTTGTTCCCTACTTTACAACAATGCTTTATTTTCAGAGAGTTGTGATCTATTGTTTCTTGTCCTAAGTCTTAACAAATTTGTGATATTAAACTGGTAAAAATAAAGATTTCATGAATCAGTACAAACTATTTCACAGTCATGTTGTTCCACTTTCCTGATTTAGCATATGAGGCTGTGTTTGTGACTTTACTTCAATCTGATTTTTATCTTTTTTTATAAGTCTTTTCATTTATTCTCCAGCCCTTTATCACGTCAGGATCTTGTAAGTTGGAAAATGGCTCTAGACAAAAGACAACTCCCAAAAGCTGACACAAAGGTTACTTACTTTTTGAGTTTGTTTAGAGTTTTGCTTCCTTGTTACAGTGAATAAGTTTATAAATTTTAAATTAATTTTTCCTTTATGGTCATGTGTAGACCCTCTATGCACTCTCTGGTTTTATAGACATTGATAAGATAAATCCAGAAGCATGGCCTGCACTTGTGGCTGATTTGTCTTCAGGAGAACGGGGTGTAATAGCACTTGCATTTGGTAAGTCATGTTCAATTGTAAATTGTAATCAGGTCTCAAGTTTCATCTTGGTTATGATAATTGATATGCCTTTGGATTGTCATTATCTCTACAGGTTGCACAAGACTTTTCCAGCCAGATAAGCCAGTCACAAAAGCCCAAGCTGCTGTTGCTATTGCAACTGGTGAGGCTTCTGACTTAGTAAATGAAGAGCTTGCACGTATCGAAGCAGAATCTATGGCAGAAAATGCAGTTTCTGCTCATAATGCTTTAGTAGCTGAAGTTGAGAAGGATGTTAATGCAAGTTTTGAAAAGGAGCTTTTCATGGAGAGGGAAAAGATTGATGCTGTGGAGAAAATGGCTGAGGAGGCTAGGTGTGAACTTGAAAGGTTAAGAGCAGAGAAAGAAGAGGACCGCATTGCTTTGATGAAGGAACGTGTGTCTATTGAATCAGAAATGGAAGTTCTTTCACGGCTAAGGCGGGAAGTGGAGGAGCAGTTGGAAATCCTGGTGAGTAACAAGGTTGAGATATCATACGAGAAAGAAAGGATTAATAAACTACAAATTGAAACAGAAAATAAAAGCCAGGAAATTACTCGGTTACAGCATGAGCTGGAAGTTGAAAGAAAAGCCTTGTCCTTGGCCAGGTAAGATGCTAACCTTATAGTGAGGCAGTTACAAGTTTTTAGCTCTGGAAATTGATGGTACATGGAATTTTTATTTTTATCAGCAAAGAAAGATACTACAAGGAATTAACTGCAAGAAATGCAGAAAGATTCTTCAATTGATGTTGTGGTTTTGTTATGGGGTTTGATAAGTTCCATTTTATTTAGCTTTCCCTTAGAAGGGAAAACGGGAAATGCACGTAAGATTTTGCCTTTCTCTAACTGCAGTACCAATTCAGGTTTTTTAGTTAGGCCTCTAAGAGAAAGAGCAACATGAAGAGAAGAGGAAAACCAATGGTCATGAATAAACTCATGGTTTTGCAGTTAGCAATACCTTGAAGTATTGTGATGATGGCTTTGGTTGTCGTCATAGCCTTTTACTATATGGTGATTTAGGTTGAGTTTCCTTTGTCCTGCAATGCATTTTAGACTAGAGAATTTAGTGAAAGCATTTGTTTTTCCTTCTTTTTTGTCTTTGCTATCAATTTATAAATTCTTTTCTGTGAAGAACTGATGGATTTAACCTAGTGATAGGAACACTGATTCTTTTGATATCAGGGGAGGGGGGATTTGACCCCATTTCTTTGGGATGGGGAACATGCACCTTACCAAGTTGAACTGGTCCTTTTTTTGTTTTTCTTTCTGATGGTTACCAAATAATTGCGTCATTCAATTTTTTAAATCCTAACTCTGTCTTCCTTGCATAATTCAGGGATTGGGCTGAGGATGAGGCAAAAAGAGCCAGAGAACAGGCAAAGGCCCTAGAGGTTGCAAGAGAACATTGGGAGAGGCATGGCATCAAAGTGGTTGTTGACAGTGACCTTCAAGAAGAGGGCGCTGTCAGGGGTTCATGGCTTAATGCTGGGAAGCAACTCTCTGTTGAAGGAACCATTGGCAGGGCGCAAACTTTAGTGGACAAGCTCAAGGCAATGGCAAGCAATGTAGGAGAGAAATCTAAAGAGCTTAGCAACAAGATTATTGAGAAGATTCTCTATCTAATTTCAGCCCTGAAGGAGTGGGCTTGTAGGGCTGGCGTAAAGGCTGAAGAGCTGAAAGACAAGGGTATCTCAAAGGCAAGGGAATCTGTGCAAGAGTGGAAGCAAAACACAGCAGAATTCAGTTTGGCAGTAAATGAAGGTGTGAAGCGAGTTGCAGGAGATTGTAGGGAAGGAGTCGAGAAACTTACTCAGAGGTTCAAAACATAACATAATGGATGCCTTCGCCTCCTTTTTCCCTTCAAGTGCAATAAATGTTTTTGCTGCAAGCTGAGAAGTCAGCCATGTAGTTCAATTACCATTACCATTTGATGTGACAATCATATGGGTTTGAATTTTTCCTTTTTTTGACCGAATGCTAAAGAAATGGGTCTTGGTTCATTTCTTTGATAATAACTTGAGGCCTTTGAGGGTTGACTCTTTTTCCTCGGCGGGTAGAGTTATAATAAAAATGAAATGTCACAAAGTGTATTTGATAGGAAAAATTGTTGTGCAATTCAAACTTCGTCAAACTACACAATAAACATCATTAGATGAGAGATGAAATCTCTAATATTAGGGCTCTTCAAATATTTAACTGTTCTTAATAGATTAGTATATAACCTAGATTGTAAAATAAGAAACCTTGTTTGTTATGCTTAGTCATCCGCAACCAGAGCACTACTTTTTTTTCTTCCGTAAGCCGAAGAAATTTATTGATGGGGGCAAGGGACATCCAAACCATTAAACATGTCATGCACCAATACGAGCATACAAATTCTCTCGTTTGTTCCTCTCCTATTACACCAAAGTGCCATGGTTCAGATTCGGTTACAGCTTCCTATATACAAATTCTCTCGTTTGTT